TGGGCAAACAACAACAACACCCAACAACCCCGACAAAATTTCATGCAACAACCGAACCGGCCAAACTTCGCTCCTCCACAACACATGAGACCAAACTTCCCTCAACAACAGCAACCGCAAAGGGGTCCTATGGGAGAGATGCAAAACCAAGGGGTTGGTCCTAGTTCGGCCACTCAAGATGGAAAATTGGATAAAATCCTCCAATTTATGACAAACCAAGAATCCACTATCAAGCGCATAGAGACTCAAATTGGCCAACTCGCTTCAAGAGTTGGCAATTTGGAGGCCGGATCCGACAAAGGGAAGCTTCCGAGCCAACCCGAGCAAGCAAAGGCAATTACCGTTTTACGGAGCGGCAAAGTTGTCAACAACCAAGTCGAAATGCCTAAAACGGAGGATCCAAAGCCAACAGATAAGCCCAAAGACGATGATGTTGAGGATAGCACACGGACAAATTCGGAAAAGCCGGTGGGAGGTCCATTTTTACATAAGTCCAAAAATCCATTCAAACCACGTATCCCTTTTCCGGGACGACTTCGGGACGAAATACAAGAAAAGCAATTCCGGGATTTATACAACATGCTGTCCAAAGTCAATGTCAACTTACCACTTCTCGACGTAATTAAAAACATGCCATCCTATGTGAAATTTTTCAAGGATTTGGTGACAAAGAAAAGAAGATTTGAAGACGGTGAGAAGGTTGTGGTGTACGAGGCGGCGAGCACCATGCACCATGACCTACCCAAAAAGGAACGTGATCCCGGAGGTTTCGTGATTAAAATAGCCCTCGGGAATGGAAAAGAAGCTCCGGGGATGCTCGACCTAGGAGCCGGAATCAACCTTATGCCATTTTCAATATTCCAGCAGCTCGGTCTCGGAGACTTGAGACCAACCCGTATGTGCCTCCAACTCGCCGACCGTTCGATACGATATCCCAAAGGGGTGGTGGAAGACGTGCTAGTTCGTGTGGGGAAGCTCATCGTTCCCGTGGATTTCGTTATTCTTGACGTGGGAGAAGTGCACGAGAATGGGAAGGATCACACCATCCTTCTCGGGAGACCATTCATGGCCACCACTAATACGCTTATTGACGTAAAGAACGGGACGTTAAATATGACGGTTTTGGGCGAGTCCGTTTCTCTTTCAGTCCGAGATGCCATATCCGCATCCTCGGTGAATTTTGTGAAGGAATGTTCGTTTGTCGATACAATCGACCCGTTCGTTGAAAAAATAGCTCAACAAGAATGGGAAGCGAGGCACATACCCGATTTCGAAGATGACAAGGAACCAACCGTCGACCTTTGCACAACCGATCAACCCAATGCACAACCAACCCTAGAGCTGAAAGAACTACCTCGACATCTCAAGTACGTATTTCTCGATAAAGAAATGCAAAAACCGGTGATCATTTTTGCCGAACTTGCAAAGGATGAAGAAAAAAAGCTACTTGAGGTACTCCGAACAAATAAACAAGCAATCGGATGGGGTCTCGAAGATCTTAAAGGTATTAGCCCCTCCACATGTATGCATCGAATTGTCTTGGAGGAAGGTGCTAAGCCATATAGGGATAGCCAACGACGGCTTAATCCGAATATGATGGAAGTTGTTAAGAAGGAGGTACTAAAGCTTTACTCTGAAGGGCTTATTTTTCCGGTAGCCGATAGCGAATGGGTAAGCCCTATCCACGTGGTGCCAAAGAAAGATGGTATCACCGTTATCGAGAATGAAAAGAAAGAGATGATTCCCACCCGTATTACTA